CGGGCCGCGGCCACGTGCGCGGGCCGCGCCGCGTCCTTAGGAACGGGCGCGCAAGGCCCGCGCCGCGCGGAACAAAAGGCGCCGCCACGTGCGCGCCGCCTGCCACGTGCGACCGTTAACGGGCGCCCGCGCGCGGCCGTTAACGGCCGCCAACGCCCCCCCACCCCCCTCCGCGAGGCGCCGCCGCCCGCTCGGCGCSGGGAGGGCGGCGGCGGCGTTACCGAAGAGGAAGGTCTGCGGGCGCAGCGGGCCCACGCTCTCCATGTCCATGGCGCTGTCCTCCATGTTCGCGGCCTGCGGCGGGACGGGCGGAGCGGGCRGGCAGCTGCGGCGCGGCGGGCGGACGCGCACTAAAGGAAGCSGCGCGACCGCCCCCTCCCAGATATAGCCCGCGCGCTCTCGCGAGAGCGGCAAGCCCCGCCCACCAGCGCCGCGCAGGCGCAGAGGCTTCCTCCCCGCGTGCGTGCGCGCGCTCCCGCCGCGCCGCGTGCGGGGTCGGGAGCGCGCGCGGCGCCGGGGGCGACAAAATGGTGGCGGGGCCGCGGGCGGCGCCATGACGCGAAATGCGGGTTTGAATGTGTAAAGCGCCACATTCGCCTCCTTCCTCCAATAAAAGCTTCTCCCTCCCTGCTTGGGAAGGCTGAGCAATGGTTTTGCAGGGTGTGCATGCCCCATTTCTCTTGCTCAGGCCAAGCCTTGGTGAAGAGCTAGTTCTCCAGTACACAAGTTCATACGTTAAATCATGTGGTGTAGAAGATGTATATAGGGGAAATATGCAGGATTATGTAAGCACAGGTTCCCCAGGATGCAGGCCCTGGCCATCGTGCTAGCCCCAAAACTGCTAGCCTGAGCAAAGCTTGTGTCAAGGGGATCCCCAAAATGCGGTCACGTTAAAGCTAACTCCTGTGTGGAAGCAAAATAGGGGAATAAATAACTGTGCTGCTCATGCGGGGGCTGCAGAGGGGAGGTCTAAGCCTTTGGAGGCTGCCGTGAGCCCTAGTCYCTCCCTGGATAGTCCAGCTCGGAGGAGACCTCAGTCGTGGCCCTGCCCAAGGCCAACTCAGCACAACCACCCAAGTCTGGTCACGGGGGTTCAGTTTACCGAGGGGCTCTGACTAACACGTCCCACCTACAGCTGATTCCCAAAGGCTTCTGCAAGCACAAAACACATTTTTTTTTTTCCTATTTCTCTTTTCATTTTCCTACCAGCTCCTTCCCCTTTTTAAGGTTTAACTGTAACATGCCACAGTTAGGAGTATTGAAGCAAAACCAAAGCAATCTAGCATCTCTCTGGAGACTCGGTTCACGCCAGCAAGAAAGAGTTATTTCAGGGCAAAAGCTTGAAGCCAGTGGCAGCTGTTAATGGGGAATTCGTGCTGGGAACAGGGAAGAGGTGACGGGAACRTGGGGAATTTGACAGCAGGTTTGGGGCAGTACGTTTTGCTCTGGCCCGTACCACATATTCCTCTTGAAATACTTTCCTTTGTGCAAGCAGTATTTTTTCCTCGGCTGCAGCTGTGTTCATCGGCCCACACAGCTCATTCGTAGCCTACAGGCACGTTTGCTGGGTGCAACAGTCTTTTGCTCTGAGTGTGTGACATAGCAAACCATGAACACTCATAAGGCAACTGCGGATAGCAATTAAGTGAACAGAAGTGATCCTGATCAACATATCTCATTATGTGGACATGGCAATGTAGAATTACCTAAAATTTCACCAATCCGGTACAAGTGAGAATTAAGAAACACTTAGTAAAACTGCGAGCAGTTACATTTGCACCCAGTCTTTTTAAAATACCAAATTAAAGAGTTTCATAACAGACTTTTTAACATCAGGTGGAAAAAGATGAAGACAAGTGTTTGGAGATCAGGAATACAAAAACACATCAGGGATATGTTTTGCTTTGTGTAAGATAAGGGCAGTCCATACTTGTGTCTAATCATATAATTTTGTTTGACATTCATTAGGAGATAGATGGGAAATACAAACAGGGAAAGTCCTCCTTTCTTTAATTTGGTAACAAAGCCAAAGAAAAAGAGTGGAAGGTGCAGAAATCATCTGGGAAATGAGAACAATTTCAAGGAAAAAACAGTCTTTTCCCTRTCATTTCTAAATTCCTACCTTTAGATTAGCCCTCTTCATGACTTTTGCTCTTCAAGTTTTACTCAACAATTTGCAGAGGAAATCTCCTGTTATCAGCATCCCGAGATTAAAGCCAAGAGGTAAACTTAAAACAGAGATACCGTCATGATGGTACAGAGAAGCTTTAATCTTAAAAAAGGCCTAGGTATCAAAAGAGAAACAAAGCAAGCTGTCTGTGGACAAGCGAGGTGATGTAGATTGCTTTCCTACATCTTGGGTTTTGTAGCTGGTGTCTGGTAACGTGGCAGCTCCAAGGATCACAGAAGAATTAAGATCAGAAAGGATCTCTGGAGATCATCTAGTCCAACCCAGCCTTGCTCAAGCAAGGCCACATAGAGCACATTGCCTAGGACTGTGTCCAGATTGGTTTTGAATATCTCAAGGAAGAAGGCTTCACAACCTCTCTGGGCACCAATCTGCTACTCAGTCACASAGTAAGGAAGTTTTTCCTCATGTTCATGTAGAGCTTCCTCTGTGTTAATAGTTTGTACACATTGCCTCTTGTCCTGTCTGAGAAGAATCCTGCCCCATCCTCTTTATACTCTGCCTCCAGATACTTACACATATTGATCAGATCCTCCCTCAGTCTTGTCCAGGCTGAACAGACCTCACCAGGGCTGAGCAGAGAGGAAGGTTCACCTTCGTCAGCCTTCTGGCAATGCTCTTCTTAACACAACCTACCATAGCTTTGACCTTCTCAGCTACTAGGACACATTGGTGGCTTATAGTCAACTTCTAGTCCAGCAGGACCCCCAGGTCCTTCTACACAGAGCTGTTCACCAGCAGATCAACCCCCAACCTGTGCTGGTGCCTGGGGCTGTTCCTCCCCAGATGCAAACTGTGCACTTACCTTTGCTGAACATCACAAGGCTCCTCTCATCTCTCCAGCCTGTCCAAGCCCCTGAGAATGGCAAAGCTCCCTGGTATATCAACCATTCCTCCCCATGTTGTATGATGAGTAAACTCACTGCGGGTGCACCCTGTCCCTTCATGCAGGTCATTGAGGAATGCTCCTTGAAGAGTTGAGGAACTGAGGAACATTGAGGAATACTCAGACCCACTGTTGACTCCTGGAGGACACTGGTAGCCCCAGGCCTCCAAATGGACTTTGTGCCACTGATCACAACTCTCTGAGCTCTGCTATCCAGTCAGTTTCCAGTCCACCTCCCTGTCCACTTATCTACCCCCGTCTTCCTATGCTTGCCTCTGAGGATGTTATGGGAGAAGGCATGAAAAGCTTTACTGAAATCCACCTCCTCACCAACCAAGGGAAAGTCTTCCTTTCCCCAGATTTTCCCTGTGGACTCCAGGGTCTGGAATTCCTGGGGCTGGTCATAGCAGAAAAGTCTGAAGCAAAGGCACATTCAGTGACTTTGCCTTCCCTCTATCATTTGTCCCATTCAGTAGCAGTCCCACATTCTGTCCAGTCTCCCTTTCATTACTGCTGTAGTTAAAGAAGCCTGTAGTTAAGAAGCTGTCCCTGACATTCCTTGCCGGTTTGAACTTCAAATGGGTCTTGGCTTTCCCAGTCCCAGCCCTGTGATGACGTTCATATCTTGCTACCAGGTGGCCTGTCCCTGCTTCCATCATCTCTGGGTTTTGTTTTGCTGTTTGGCTCAGCTAAGAGTTCCTTCTTCATCCATGTATCCCCCTGAAACCTCATGATTAGCGTGCTTAAAATCTCTGTGCTGTTTTCTGTAATATCTAGAGGTAAATTCACTTTTTTTTTTTTTTTTTTTTTTTTTCCCTGCAAGTTAAGGAGGAAGAGGAAAAGAAACAAGAGCCTATTTCCCTTGCCTGGGCTCAGGCAGACCTTTGCATGGAGCTTGCAGAAATTTGAGACCTCCGGCATGTGGCTGAGTGCGGCCCAAAGAGCTCCCSAGAGCCAATTTTTGGGAGCAGAACAAAGCGATCATAAAAGCATCACTAAGAATCTTCCCAATGTACTCCGCTTAAAATCTTCTTAGGAAACCAGAGAAGGAACAATGCTTATTTCTTTTTTGTGTTTTTTTTTTTCAGACCTTTAGTTTGGTTCATTCCTTATTATCTTCAGAAGGAATCAGTTCCAAGCGGGACCTTTAACGTAGGAAGAGGGGCAGGTTGGCAATCGGGGAGACGTGGGGATCTGGGAAGCAGCAGGAGTGGAAACGCTCACGGAGGGTGGTGGCTGGTGGCATTGCAGGAACACAGGCCTCGGTATCCGAGCAGCCATTTCAGCCAAGCAGAACCGTACCGACACAGACAGGATTGTTGGATTTGGCTTCAAAATGCAACAATCATAACCATCATAACCCGGATCGACGTCTGAAATGCAGCTATGGCCCAGTCTGCAAAGATCCCGCAGCCGGTGGCACGTGCAGGCCCCTGGTGTGACCATCACCGCTCGGCCAGGCGGCTGGAAAGGCCGCAATCCCAGACACCCACCCGCTCCCGTCCGGGCGGGATGACGCRGCCACGGCCGCTCTCGTGCCTTCGGAGTCGCTTTGAATTCAGTTACACTGCTCCATTACCGAGGAAATAAATGCGGGAGGAAACAAAGGACAGACACAGGGAGGCAAAGCAAGGGTAGGAAGGGGAAGACAGATGCTTTCTGCGTCCCATTTGGCTCCATAGGGCTTTAGGAAGGCTGCCATATATCATGGCATTTATTATTTCTGTCATGTACTACGATGCAAAGTCCATTACAATATCAATCATTTTACTCTGCTCGAGTCTATGCTGCGTAATACTCGGCCTAGCTGAAAAGTCATTTAGAAATAGCTGTGCAGGGAGAGCCGAGGCAGAAATCGGAGTCAACACAGTTCCCCTTAATAAAATTCTCTTTTTAGTAACCTTTTACAAAGCCTAGGAAATGGCATTTTAATCAGTGCTCAAGCCACAGGACAGTTGCACAATCAAGTGGTCAGGGGTTACAGGAAGAATTAGGATTTCTTGGGCAACCTTAATTGACATCATGATACAACCCTCAGCTAAATTGCCGCATGGCTGCCACATAATCCCTGCCCAGGATGCTTCCCCCTTTCCCCAGTCAATAATTTCTGGCCCCCAGAGAACCCGGGGGCCAAATTTCTAAAAGGCATTAAAGCACTTACCCTTCCTTGAAACCAAACACCCAACATACTCCCAAACCTGAAAATCCAAATCTTTCAACTGAGCCTAAAGCAACTGCTGGTTAGCTACAATACTCCAGCTACGGCAAAAAGGGGATGAACAAGGTGAGCCCAAACTAGTTATCATTAGTGTAAC